CCAAAGGAGACAGAGTGGGGGAGGGTGGGCAGAGGCGATTTCATGCAGAGAAGGGATGATTAGCAGAAAAGGGCCGCTTTTCTTCCGACTAGGATCCAAGGCCAGAAGCAAGCCTTCCCAGGAGGAAATCAAGTGAGGGTAGGTCAGGCTTCCTCAACCTTGGTCCTCCAGATGTTTTGAGACTACAATTCCCATCATCCTTGACCACTGGTCCTGCTAGCTAGGGATCATGGGAGTTGTAGGCCGAAAACATCTGGAGGGCCGAGGTTGAGGAAGCCTGGGATAGGTGATTTTGGGAGGGAGTGCTCAGCCCTGTTCCTTCTGCTTCTCCACTTTAAATTGCCCCTGATTCTCCTCTCAGCACCAATGTATGCTCTCTCCGAAATTTGTATATTCTAGCACATGGGTTGGGCTTCCCTTGCATCTAATTAGATCCCCAATAGCAAAGAGTTTGAAAGGGTTTGCATTGCAACTACATTGTGTCCCAAAGGCCTGCTCACTAGTGCCATTGTTTGTTTGTTTGTTTGTTTAACATATGCTGCCCTTCACTGGAAGATCTCAGAGAGGTTCACAAGATAAAGGAATGGCTGTTTGTGGGCTGTGGCCCTGAAACTCAACAGGAATGCCAGCAAATACCGTCAGGATTGCTTATTACCAAGTAGCTTCAGGTGTTGCTGTTACAGCTTCAAAAGTATTTCATATTTATTTTGCAACTGACGTGCATCGCCACCTGAAACTCTTGCCTTGGCAGAACTGATTGGGCTTGGCTTTGATCTCTGAGTAAACTAAAAATCATTCAGAAATGTTTACTTTGCAAAGTGTGTGTGTGTGTGTGTGTGTGTGTGTGTGTCCTCTTGCCACTGACTTTTCCTCCTTTAATTCAACTAAGATGCTACTTCAGCTTTATCAGTTATAAAGTGGTCTGGTGGTAGGTTTCTATATAATACGGACCTGAGCTAGACTGTGGGAATGGTTTGGGATAGGGCTGTCTTAGTTCCCTTCAAGTCATAGAGAATAACATTTGAAAATTCTTCCCCGGCCTCAAGAGTTAATGACTTTCAGGGCTCCTACTAACAAAGAATATGGTATCCAATTTTTCATCTTGGTTGAAACGTGTGTTGTTTGTACACACAAACACATGGGAGAAGGAAAGTACACCCTCTTTGAATTCTGTAGTTTTACATGAGGACATTTTGGCTTTATTTTTGTTGAATAAATCACGGTGTAATATGTCATGTGTTGTTGTTCATCTGAGGTTGTATTTACCTAATTTTAAGAGCTGCTAAGGAACAGATTGTTGTTGTTATGTCCTGATATGTAAAACACAGAATTCAAAGAGGGTGCACTTTCTTTCCCCCATGACTCCAGCATCTTCTATCCCTCGTAACATTTTCAGATAAAGAAATAATACATTCCGGTAGATTAAAGCGAGCGGTTCTGTTGCTTCTTTTAAAACGTTTAAATAGGGTTTAATACAAAATGTACATAAAGAGCCATACAAATATACACTACCATTTGTTACAATATTGAGCTTTGACAGTAACGGCAACTTTCCTCTTCATCTTTGGATTCTGTCCTCTTCGTCCGCCAACTTCCTGTCTTGAACACTGCAGTTTAGAGGTAGCCAATATGGCGGCCTCTGGAGGTTCCTAGACTCCCAATTCCCACTAGCCCCAGCCAACATGGCCAGTCGATGAGGTTGGTAGGGCGGTTTAATCCCACAACACCAGGACAGTGCCATGTTGGCTGCCTCTTCAGGTAGCCTGAATTAAAAACTTCCGTGGAAGAGCAGAGCCCTTCCTTTTTTTTATTCCACTTTGCTTTCCCCTTTTTCTCACTACTATTCTCCAACCCTCTGATCTTTGCTTTTTTAACAGCTTGCTCTGACAATAGCAATTCAGCAGAAACTGGGTGACAATAACAAATACTGCCTATCGAAAGAGGGTTTAATGGGAAACACTGCTAATAGGCTCTGAAAGCCTGTTGGCTTGTGTGTGGTTTTTAAAGGGGCTTAATGCTCCTGACTGGTTTCAGATTACCAACATTAATTAGATTGAGCCTTTTTCTATGAGAACAGCTAGCTACCAACACCCGACTTATTGAAACATTCGGGAAAAGAAACGACTATGGGTAGAAATGATGGAATAGAAATAAATAATTACCAGCTTTAGATTATCGGTGGCTCGTCTCAACACTCGAAAACTGCCTTTGAAGTTATTTCAGGACCCTTCTTTTGGTTCCTGTGGCTTTTAAGCCCAAATGGGGCGCAGCGACAAAATGCTTGTATTCATGTGAAGGTGGTCCGGCATTTATGATATGCTCCTGCTCATTCACATTGTGTGATATTCTTTGCTTTTTGCAAGGAAACTGTCCAGTCCATTGACATTTTGAGTCTTCAGAATGTGTCTATAGGGGAGCTCTTGTAAGAGTTCTCCTTCAGGCTGTGAATATTTCTTTGGTGCCATTTTGCCACTGCAGAACAAGATCCATTGGAGTTTTCCCCTCCTATGGAGGAAAGTTAGGGAAACGGCATTAATTTTACCCCCCTTGAAATGTCATCATTGCTACCCACTCTGGAAGAATGGCAAGTGAAGGTGATTGACTACATGGGAATGGCTGAGAATGACCGGCAGAATCCGTGACCAGGGGAAAGAGACAGTGGAAGAAGATGTGGAAGAAATTTAAAGTATATCTTAAAAACTGTTGTAAAATTGAAGAGTGCTGAGATGTTATGGTGTTAAAAATAGAGAATTGCAGCTGTATATCATAAATTTAAAGGAGCTATAATGAAGATGAATTAATAATGAAATGAAGGGTTGCTGTTAAAAGGGAAAAATAAGGAATGCAGAAAAAAGGGAGGTATGGGAAGTCCGGGAAACAAGGTAAGGAGAAATGAGTTTATGAAATTGTACATGTTTATTTGTGTGTATGTTTTGTTTTGTTTTGTTTGTTTGTTATACTACCATGTTTGGAAAACTAATAAAAATTTAAAAAAAAAAAGAAAGAAATGTCATCATTGCTCTCCTCTGTTTCTGTGACTTAGCTTTTCTGCAGATGTGGTTGGTGGGAAGCTCTCTTAATAATGACCGCTTATCCCTCTTTGAAGTGACAAATGCATCAAAAATGGTCTTTCTGGGTGCAATGTCCACCTTTGAGGGGTGGTGCAGTGGCAATGAATGTGCATCCCCCACAGACACTAATTCCATTCAACAAGTGCATCTTTCTTGCCCAATTGTACCTATTCCTCACAACGCAGTCAATTTGCTAGCACAAATGTTCAAGACTAGAAAGTGAATGTGGACAGCAAAATCTACGAACATGGAACCAGCAAAGTTAGATGCAATCCAATCCTACTGTGGTCGTCTTGGTGTTTTTATTGTAGTAACTAGTGCCCTGATTTTCTTTAAAAACTCAACATGGCTTACTTAGGAAAACAGCAAAGAGTTAGGGAATACTTACAGCATTCTTCATGTTTAGGTTGGCACCATACATGATCAGGAGTCGAATCATTTTATAACGATTCAGTCTCACTGCGTCGTGCATAGGACTATCTCCTTCCTAGAACAGAGGAGACAAAAATGAATATAATGAGCTTTGGGGCTCTACTGGCGTAATAGTGAAAGTACTCAATAAATGACACCATCATCTTTGCACCCAATAGTTGATAATGATTATTCTTAAGTGTGCTGTTGTGAAGCTGAGTTCAAGGAATGTTAAGTACTATTGCTATTCTCTCCCTGAAGTTTCCTTCAGAGATCACAATCACCTGCTATTTTACCACACTAAAGACACTAACCTGAGCAACGGGAGCCCGTAAACTGCAGGTGTCATTGCACCTCCATCATCCCTCACTCTTGCTTATGCTCACTGGGGGTTGGTGGATTTGGGAGGCTATAGGGCTACAGGCACCAAATTCTGCAATGCACGTTCCTTGAAAACAGACCAGCATGCTATAGAAGTGATTTTGTGCTGTATTATATTAATTGTATGGGACGCGGGTGGCGCTGTGGGTTAACCACAGAGCCTAGGACTTGCTGATCAGAAAGGTCGGCGGTTCGAATCCCAGCGATGGAGTGAGCTGCCGTTGCTCGGTCCCTGCTCCTGCCCACCTAGCAGTTTGAAAGCACATCAAAGCGCAAGTAGATAAATAGGTACCGCTCTGGCAGGAAGGTAAACGGCGTTTCCATGCACTGCTCTGGTTTGCCAGAAGTGGCTTAGTCATGCTGGCCACATGACCAGAAAGAGAGCTTTACGCCAGCTTCTCTTGGCCAAATAAAGCGAGATGAGCACCGCAACCACAGAGTCGGTCATTGACTGGACCTAATGGTCAGGGGTCCCTTTACCTATAATAATTGTATTATTTGTACCCCACCCATCTGATTGTGTTGCCCCAGCCACTCTGGGTAAGCTCCAACATATCTAGAAACATAACATTAAGCGTCGAAAACTTCCCTAAATAGGGCTGCCTTCAGATGTCTTCTAAAGGTCAGGTAGTTGTTTATCTGTTTGGCATCTGATTGATTGATTGGAGGGCGTTCCACAGAGCGGGCGCCACTCTGCCCTCTGCCTGGTTCCCTGTATGTTCACTTCTCACAGTGAGCGAACTGCCAGAAGGGCCTCAGAGGTGGACATGTCATACTCATTGACATCCTCTGAGCAGCATTGTGACTCTTGCTGCTTATATATCCTGTGCATGTAGCCTTGTGGGGGGAAAGGCTTGTACATCCACTTTCCCTTCTACTGCATGGGAATGTTGTTTGATAAGGCTTGCCCTAATAAAAATGTCATAGGAAAAAGCAATCCCCATGGGAAATGGACCTTCAGCTGGAAGGATAACCTTGGAACACCACCACCCAGGTGTTGCCGGGGCTGCCAGATCCCATGCCAGCCCCAGCTTGCATGACTTAATAGTCAGGGATGGTGGAATTTACAGCCTGGCTCACACATCTGGAATGCACTTACCCCATGGGTAGGCAAACTAAGGCCCGGGGGCTGGATCCAGCCCAATCACCTTCTGAATCCGGCCAGCGGACATTCCAGGAATCAGCGTGTTTTACATGAGTAGAATGTGTCCCCTTATTTTAAAATGCATCTCTGGGTTATTTGTGGGGCAAAGGAATTCGCTCATTTCCCTCCTCCCCCCCATATAGTCCGGCCCCCACAAGGTCTGAGGGACAGTGCACCACCCCCTGCTGAAAACCTTTGCTGACTCCTAACTTACCCTGTCTTTGGCATTGAGATCTGCTTCACAGGCGATGAGGTGCTCCCCACATTCGTACTGACCTGTCCTTACAGCCACGTGTAGAGGACTGCTGAGCAACTGGTAGAAAAGGGAGGGCAGGGAGAGGGCATAATCAACAGAAGCAGGGCAAGGCATTCTAAGGTGAGAAACAACAAGCTCGGATCTAAAAGGGCCTCTTGTACAAACAGCTCACAAATCCACTTTTAGCTTTTCCCCACCTCAGTTTTTCAAACGGAAATAATAATAGCTTACCTTATCTCTAGCATTCCTGTTTATTCCTTTGTTCAGCAAGTACTTCAGGATTTCCACATTGCCCCCACGGCAGGTCCAATGAATAGCTGTGGATTCAAGCTACACCAGGGGAAAATAATAATAAATATTTGTCAACTGGTTCATATATGATGTGAGTTTTCAGCACCTAATTACTCATGTCCTGATGAGTCTTGGCCACTAGACTTGTGCCCGGTTATTGTTGATAAAAGTTTTATTACTTTGGAAAATAAAAACTTTATTGAAAAGAAAAGCCTTGTGTTTGAGATAGCAGGAGGTAATACAGTGGTACTTCAGGTTAAGAACTTAATTCATTCTGGAGGGTCCGTTCTTAACCTGAAACTGTTCCTAACCTGAGGTACCCACTTTAGCTAATGGGGCCTCCCGCTGCTGCTGCGCGATTTCTGTTCTCATCCTGAAGCAAAGTTCTTAACCCAAGGTACTATTTCTGGGTTAGTGGAGTCTGTAACCTGAAGCATCTGTAACCCAAGGTACCACTGTAGTGGTTCCATCTGCAACAGGCTAGGCATGGCTTATTGATGGTTACAGTGGATGAGGAGCGAACGTGTGTCTGTGTGAGCCACCCCAAGGAACTCTGCATGTGTCCAATGAGCACTTACCATATCCTGGAATTCAAGGTGGGCTCCTGCTTCTACTAACTTCTCCACAACTGCCAGGTGCCCTTCTGAGCATGCTCTGTGCAAGGCTGTGCGCTTGTACTGTCAAATGGAATAGTCATAGTGTGGTCAATTTTAACCTGCAAGGCTTTGAAATAAATCATACAGCCCTTAGCATGTTGAATATTCAAAACACTTTACACATAAATTAACCCCGCCCGTCTCACCCTTACCAAAACAAAACATGCACATGTAAAGTTTTTCATTTCCTTCTCGTGCCTCGCTAAACTTCCCTCCCCCTCGTTTAAATTAAGCTCCTGAAGGCAAGGCCTTCTCTTTCATTACTATGTATGGTGTCATGTACAGATATGTATACAATGCCAGATAAATCATAATTTCAGTCTTTTGTTAACAACAGCCCCGTACGGCATTTATGTACTTAACTTGTTTAGTTTTGTCAGTTTATAAGCCACCCTTCAGGAACAGTAGGCTCTCTTAGCTGTACAATTTAAACAGCATAAATTCATGAAGACAAAACACGACAAGCACAAGGAAATAGATTTTTGATATTGCTTGAATGCCCATTTAAAGAAACAATGCTCTCCTGTCTTGGGAGTTCAGAATACTTTAACCGTGAAAAGTGTATCTGCTTCAAAAGGTAACACTGACAGAGTGGCGGTGGAGTTTAAATTTAACCTTAAGATATAATTTTTAAGGAGGACATAAAAACCTCTTAAAAACTGGTTTGAGAGGCATCCATCCTCCCTATGGAGATCTGGAAACAGCAGTGGTTGGGGAGAGATCAGGCTCTTTAAAGAGAGAACCTTCTCTACCCTCATCAAACTACAACTCCCAGGATCCTTTGGGAAAGCCATGACTGTTAAAGCTAAGATCAAAGATGTGCGCCTTATAGGAGATTTGGGACAGAAATTGGTGAACAAATCATACCTCATCACAAACGTTTGGATCTCCTTTGTCTGCCAGGTATTTTTCAATTATTGGCATCTTGTTCTCCAAGGCAGCCTTTAAAAATGTTGGAACATCCACGGGTTCAGTCTGATGGAGAGCAGAAATAAGAGTTAGTTCAGTTCCGTGGGGGGGAACCCCATAAAGACAGCAGAGAAGACTATTTTGCCCCTGAACTTACTATAACTTCTTGCTCAGGCTCCTTTACAACGGGCACTTTAACCTTCTTGAATTTTTTCCTTTTCTTCAGCTGAATGATTTTTTCAAGATCTTCCAAGCTCTCAAGTTTTGGTCTTGCCTCTAATTTCTTTTTCTTGATCTGAACAACAACAACAAAAGCAAATAAGAACATAAGAAGATCCCTCCTGGACCAGACCACCATTTTATCTACTCCAGCATCCTGTTCTCACAGTGGCCTACCAGATGCTTATGGAAAGCCTGCAAGCAGGAACTGAGTGTAAATGTCCTGTTCCCATCTGTGAATCTCTGCCACTGGTATTCAGAGTCATACAACTTCCAATGGTGGAAATAGCCAGGGCTTTTTTTTTCCAGCCAGAGCTCAATGGAACTCAGTTCCAGCCCCTCTCAGGTGGGCGCTATTGCCATTCTAAGAGAACAAGGGAACTGTTCATGGTGAGTTCTGGCACGTCTCTCGGAAAAAAGGCACTGGAAGTAGCCACTGTGAGTGACTGCCAAGAAATTAGAGCAATATGAGGAACAATAACATTAGCTTCAACATACAATCTCCAGGCTCCCTTGGAATCCCCTTCAACAGTTAAAATAATCAGAAAAGGCGTTACTTCAGCTACTAATACTACGCTAATATCAATACACCAATTCAAATTTAAAGATAACACTTGAAGTTCTGCTGAAAAAATGCTACTGGTTATTTAAATGTAAGACGCATAAGTGATTAAGGAACCATGCAGACATAACACAGGGTCACATGTTCCTTAGAATTTATTCTAGTTATAAATATGTGTCAGCCTATATTTAAAGCGCAGGCTACATCTTTAATGTAGAGTAACAACCCAACTTGCTTTTCACAGAACAAGGTGCTAATGAGTGACATAATTTATCCCCAAATGTAGAATGATTGTTGCTCTGAAAGATTCACTGTATCTCCTTTTTGGAGTGATTCTTGATCAAGTTTCAAGTTGAAACTTCATTGCAAAAAGTGTGTTGGGCTGGGGAAGGGGCGGTTGATTCAAAATCCTTTAAAACCCATGTAGAATTTGGATGCCCTTAAACTTAACACTGTTCTGTAATTCTTCATTTGAATAATCCATTGCCAGGGAAGCTGTAAAATGCTAAATCACCAGCTCACAATAATCTGTTACTTCAAAGGAAAAGTGTGTGGATTTAAATTCCAGTAATGTCTTTCCTATTTTCATATATCTTTGAGGGAGGGCTGGTGGAATCTTACTTTTATTGCCCACCTTAAAATTTTGTTCTCATTGAGGAAGATTTTAATAATGTTGCCATGCTTGAAATGATGGGCATAATTCTTTGGGCACTGAACCAAACAATTACAGATGACCTTATATTATAAACGGAAGTAAAAAATGTTTTTAAGGAGGAAACCCCATATGTCCCAATATGTCCTTGGCATGTGAGGGATGGGGTAACACATTATTTGCATGCAGAAAGTCTCAGTGTGAATTGTCTCAGCAGAAATTTGATTCACATTTTAATGCAAACTGCCCTATGTGCAAACCAAGGCACAAGTTATCTTTACAAAATTGTACTTCTCTGAATTTTCGCTGCAGTTCTTTTGTAAATTCATATATTAAGACAAAGTTTGCATAGAAATTCATATTTTCCTGAAAATAAAATATGAAATGAATTCTGTTGGGGGGGGATATGTTTAGCAGGCAAATCTGCATGGAAGTATATGTATAGTAGACATTTACATTAAAGTGATAAATTTTTATGAGAACATTTTTAAAATATATATAAATCACAAATTGATGCAGGTGGGGAAATGAGAAAATGACATTAACAGACTTGTCCATCCCTAATCCCCAGCATCTCCAGTGAAGAGGAGAGATATCTGCCTGGAGACTTGGGATTACTTTTTGCCTCAAATACCAAAATGTCTTGGTTTGTCTCTAATCCATGGCTTTCAGCCATAACTGGTAGCCATTTTCCAGATTTTCAGAGACACCCTTTCCCCAATCCTGTAGTTTGTGACACTCTTAGCTGAATACACTGAATTTGTAGAGCGTGGGTTCCCCCCCCCCATGTAAAACAGGTGTATTCCCTAGGGAGTTGTGGCCTATCCCTTCTAATTTCCTCTCATTCCTGGTTTTCTAGTTATAATTAGGATATGTTGAGTCCCAGTTAATAACATATTGGCAATGTAACAAGACCCTGGGGGTTGGGAATCTTTCTAACTGGTTTCCAGTGTACATCTATCAAGACCTTTCTATTTTTTCTAAACTTCCTTCTTAGTTAGAGGGCAGACCACAGGAATCGAAACTTCAGAGCTCCAGAAGTGCAAAAAGATACACAATAAACACAATTTTACCTCAGCTTCTAGCGCTTTCTCTTCTTTGTAGGTCAGATTGTGCCGTGCCACTGAGTGGTCCGTGAGGGTCTTCAGGTCCTCTTGTTCTCTAACCTTACGCAGCTTCATATTCTCCATTTTTGAAGTCCTCTGGGAGGAAATCTCCTGTCTCTCTACCGTCGGCCTTTTTGCCTGTCACCTGTCAAAGGAACAATGGTTCAAGAGTGTCAACGTCTTGCTTTCTGACATATTGAGAAGCAGAGCTAACATGTGAGGACAGGGCAGGCAGCCCTCGAGAAATACTGAGGAAATGGAGGTGAAAATGATGGTTCAAAGACAGGGTGCCTTTTCGGAAAGCAATGGGTGAGTTGAAATCATGGCTCTGAACCGTTGTTCATCTGATTCCAAATGCTCAGGGAACAAAGTAGAATGTGCATAGCCCAGCATCTGGGAAAGGAAAGCTGTCAATTTAACACCCTTCGCATGACCCAGAGAAGGCTTTGTAAGGCTTGTTGGTGGAGGGAAAGATGTATTCAGGGGAGATAAGAAGCATGAAGGTCAGAGGCCAGGAGGAGGTTGAAGAAAGGGTGCAAAGTAGGAAGTGGACCAGGAAGAAAAAAAGGTGAGGCTTGGGGAAAGGGCCTGAGAAAATGAGTCAGCCACCCCCAACCTGGTGCCCTCCAGACCTTGCTGGACTCCAACTTTAATCGTCCTCAGCCAGCATGGCCAAAGGTCAAGGATGGTGACAGCTGGAGTCCAGCAACCAGGCTGGAGAAGAATAAAATAATGGAGCTGAAGCAGACAGCTTGGGTTATCTTTAGCTTATAGCACTTACAATGAGCTCTCTGCCATTTGGGGCAGGAATACAGGGATGAGAGGGAGGACGTCAAGAGACAAGGTTACTGAAGCAAGTGGCCCAACGAGACAGTGGTCTGAAAAATAAAGACTTGAGGATGGGATGGGCATGGCAGGCTTGCAGGCAGGAGAATGGAGAAATCCAGGGGAAAGTAAAACTGGGGTAAAGCCACATATTTGGGCTTAGGGGTAGGAGGGTCTGTGAACTCCACGGGGAAAGGAAATGGGCAGGCAAAAGGAGATTTGGAGGTGTGGGGACTGTGGGCCAAGGGTGCATTGAGTTGCTAAGTCTAAGTAGGGCCAGCCAACCTGGTACCCTTCCGATGTTTTGGACCTAAACATTATCACCTACTATGCAGTCACCTCAGATAGAATTATCATTGTACAGTTATCCCTTGTTGTACTGGTTGGGGCTGATGGAAATTGCCATACACAACCTCTGGAGAGCTTTCCTTGATCCTAAGGCTTAGGCCCAGTAAGGAGAATTGTCTTAGCTGTGCCATCTCCGGTCACTGAAGCATTGTTGACCCGGCAACTCTAAAAGGACGCCGAAGGCCCAGAAGCAGTGAAGGATGGCGGGCTGAATTTCACATATTGATCGGAACTAACCAGACACTTATTGGGCTGCAGGCATCTTGTAACCATCTGGTAACTGGGCCCTTGGAAACAAATAGGCTGAGAAGTGAGTAAGTTTAAAATGGAGTTCTCCATGGTGGACAAACGCTATACAAACGACATACATGGACGCGGCAGTATGCATATGGATCCAGGTACAAAATTTCTCCTGTATGTTAGGAACAACTAAGTAAATCTGTGGCCTCAGGCATTCTGTACATCACATTTAAAATCAAGTCTTTTTCTTTCCCTGTTGGAAGTGTGCTGTGTGTACAGTAATCAGGCAGTGCAATGCATGCATTGGCGCAAGCTAAAGATAGTTGCGACTACATCTCACTGAAATCAAGGAAGCAAGGTAGATGCATATGACTAATGCAGTGTTTCCCAACCTTGGGCCTCCAGCTGTTTTTGAACTACAATTCCCATCATCCCTGACCTGGTCTTGCTAGCTAGAGATGATGGGAGTTGTAGTCCAAAAACAGCTGGAGGCCCAAGGTTGGGAAACACTGGACTAATGTATGTTATTCCTGACTAACTTTAGCTGGATTGGGGGTGGTAACTGGGATTCTGAGAGCCAGTAGGAGTAAGCCCAAGAGCTTACTGAAACCCAATGTTTTTTTTATCATCTTTCCCCCACCCCAACTAATTGGCAAACCTCTATGCCATCTGATTCTGAAATTCCTCATGTAGTGTGGGCACCTGCTGTCAAAAAGCACAAGTCCAAAGGTCCCTTACATTCACAAAATAAATTGAGCAGTTCTTTAGATCCAGACGCATTTCGTTTCCAAACTTCTTGCTTAGATGTATTTATTTGTTAGGAATCCACTTTTATTTGAGATCTGATCAGCCCTCCAGGGATCTAAGTCTTAACAGTTCAATCTAGGCATGTCTACTCAGAAGTAAGCCACTCATCTGACTTGCTGTGAGATATTTGTGTCTGGGATAGCAGCCTTGATCAATTTTCATTGACTTAAGTCACTAGAGAGTTCAACAAGCA